TCACGAAATCATAGGGGGGGTTCCGTGTATTTTACCGTAAAATTAAACTTGTCTACTTTTCGTGTTTAGAATGCCTGTATAATTAAAACTTCTTTCCAGCATTACTAATTTTCACTAATATGCCTGTATAATATAGTTCAGTTATATGCTTCCATTTGATTGTACTTAGTTTCACTAATTTTCATTCTCACCAACATTACTAACTAAACATTATTATTTATTCTTCACAATTTAGAATGAATAGCTTACATATATTCATTCATTTATAGTTATTTAACTTTTTTGGAAATGTGGCCTAAAAATAATTGTCACAGTTTTTGTCAAATTGAAAACGTATAATATTTAAAAAGCAAACAACCTTTAAATAAATTTTTGATATCTTTACTTAGCTTTCAGCCATATTTCAATAAAATACTTTTCTTCCCATTGGCTACTTATTAAAATGAACTATTTTATCACATTCAGCAAAAAAATCCTTTTCATATTGCTTTATAAACTCTTCTCCTTTACGTAATGCTTTCTTCGACAACCAAATTTTCCACATTTCTTGGCACCAATCAATACATCTCAATAGGCATTGGCTGTGCGTACCACACTGATATGAACATAACTACAAAAAATGTTAGTTAATTTCAATTTTTTCTTAGTACACTTCTTCCACCATCTACACATGCACATGATGAATATCTTTGATAACATCATCTTAATTACAAAGAGCCCAAATTATTTTTTGCCAATATATATTCTGCAAATCGACACCTTAACCACTAAATCTTTTTTTTTAACATTTTCCTTTATTGTTTTACTATTTTCAAAATCCAGTGTACCTGTTTTTTTGGGGTTTAGCAATGTCATGCTATATTGAAAAAAAAATTCTATTATCATTACAATTTAGAATGAACAGCTTACATATGTTCATTCATTTATAGATATTTAACTTTCTGAAAAATGTAATCTAAAAATAACTGTGACAGTTTTTGTCAAATTCAAAACGTTTAATATTTAAAAAGCAAACAAAACAACTTTTCATGATTTTTGTTTATTTAAGATTTTTCACTTTTAAATAAATTTTTGATAACTTTACTTAACTTTCAGACATATTTCAATAAAATACTTTTCTTTCCATTTACTACTTTTCAAAATGAACTATTTTATAACATTAAACAAAAAATTCCCTTTTCATATTGTTTTATAAATTTTCCTTATTTCTTGACAGCAATCAATTAATCTCAATGGGCTTTGGCTGTACGTAGCACAGCCCACCCCTACTAGTATACACAAGTAGTAAAAGCAAACTAAAAGATAATTCACTTCTTTGATGTTAGGGATTTTTATTTTCATATTTGTATCTTAGGAATGTCTTGATTTTGACTTACTTCTTGTAAGTGAACTCTGCATATATAGATATATAGAAATTTTCATATATCGTGGACCAATGTTTATGAATAATGATGAATTCAAAAAAAATCTCAATTTTGGTGTTCTCTGGGATCTTGGTCCCTAATTAAGGTAGTCGCATTTCCAAAATGCAGTTACCAGGAAATATTGTTTTCCTTTCGATTTTTTTTTTGTGGTGCTAGAAGGATGGGAAACTTTCTTTTATTTATTTCCCCAGTCGCCATATGCAGCAACTATGCAAATGTTTTTTTTTTTTATATTTTCATATGACATTTGCCGCATTAGGCTTGAATGTAGTGAAACATTTTTTCTAATTCTCCAGTCTCTGCATCCGGCTTGGATGCGGTGATCCCTTATTTTTAATTTTCAAATTGAAAATTTTTTATGAGAGTCAAAATTTTTTCTAGTCAACTAGTAATTTACCAAGGATTAGGAGTAGGTTAAGGTCTAAAATACAAATCATGTTTTATAATTGTCCTTTTTTTCATCATAGCCATTGATTAATCATCGATGAGCAGCTTGTGACGAGGTTTAGGTTCCATTTTAACATAAAATTTAAATTTAAATTTAAATATGCTGGACTCATAACCTTTTTTCGAATATTTTTAGCTTTTACATGTAATTTGTTAGGCAATTATTTACAAGATGCTAATAATTAGCATCTAATGATAAATGTCTAATATAACTAAATGAAAAGTATTGTGATATTTTAAATCAGGCTATTTAAATATCAATGTATAAGAATTTGCATAATAAGAAAAAAAAACTATTGATGTTTGAATTTCACCCATCAATGCACATCCTACCCTTATCAGGCAAAGTGGTAGAGTAGTTACACTTCCAATGTACTTTTCGGCATGATAGATCTTATTGAAGTTGTATCCACTAGAACCTTCAAAGTAGTACTTGTACTCCCACAGGTATCTATTCCTATTCCTCATCAATCGAGGGTCCATTACAGGAGTTGGATCACAACTAAGGCAAGTATGAATTGAAGATATAGCGGAAGGAGCCTTATGGGCAATAGTATCTGTGCCCATCTGAAGAATAGGTGATAAGCCTATCGAGAAATCTAAAAAGTCGTAGATACGATCAAAATCACCACCAAACTCATTATTTGGATAGAATGCTGCATATGGCATATCAAAGGATGACCCTGCACCTGTTGTGTAGCCGAATATGGGTATGGGGTTAAGTGTCATAAGAAAATCACCTCCATAAGTTAGAACACATGAAGGTAAAGAAAGTTCCATGATAGGGAACTGGAGTGACAATAAGAGGGTCATTTGCGGCATTATATACCAAAGCCTAAGGTGGCGTTTGGTTTGTATTTTGGAATCGGATTCGGATTTGGGATCAACTATCCTGGATTTGGAATGGAGTCAGTCATTCCAATACATCTATTTGATTTAGTACCTGGAATGTATATCATTACTATAGTTGATATTTGGTTCATTAGCTTTTTTGAAATGGGATTTGAGAAATTTCCAATAATTAAATGTATTAGTAAATTTAGTATAACTAATTAATAATTTCTATTAGTAAACATGTATAATTATTAGTATAATTGATAATAAAATTATATTACATATACTAAATTATATAACGATTAATATTTCCTACACTGACGGTGTATACACTATCATCGTTGGATGATTGACAACTATACAAAATTTAAATTTAAAATTCAACTTTTGCACATATATCATGAATCCAACGATGATAGTATATACACCGTCAGTGTAGGAAAGATTTACTCATTATATAATACATATAACTAATAATATCATTATTATAAATTTGTAACTAATTAAATTAAATATTATATATACTATTACATATAATTATACTAATATTATAATACAAATATATATATAAATATTAATTATACTAATATGTTATATAATTATAATGTATATTATATATTAAATATAATTGTAAATATATTATAATTATAATTACAATTATATAATATATTATTATATACTAATTATATACACATATAATATATATTTATAAATAATATAAATATATTATTATATAATATTCTATGTATAATTATAATATATATTATATTTAATTTTAATTTTAATTATATTTTAATTAAATAATTATAATATAATTATAATATAATAATATTTAATTCAATAATTATAATATATTTTTATATTATTTATTATTTATGTGTATATAATAATTATAAATATATTATATAATTATACTAATATTATAATAAAATATATAGTTATAATTAAATATTGTAATTATAATATTTAATATATAAAATTATATATTAATTTTTTAACAAGTGGCGAGATGGGCACCGTTTCTAAGCGAGGGGAACCCCACAGGGCAGCTGTCCCAATTGCCATCCCTAGTTTTTGATAAATTAGATAGGAATCAGACTTGATTTTGTCCAAAACCCTTTAAGTTACTAGGGAATTAGGGAATTTCAAATTTTTAGATATGATTCCAAAATCCCAATTCCGATAATAGCAATCAAAACAATAATTATGGGGTTTATTTTAATTCTCCATTCCAAAACCCTCTTAGCAAACGCCACCTAAGTATCCTGAATAACAGGAACGTCATCATCATGTATCAAGATGCTTCTTTCCAATGCCTACCTTTTTGGTTCCTTCCACGCACCTATCTAGGTAGATGCTCGATAAGCATCTCGAATGGGGCAGTATAAGAAGTAGATGGTCTGACTTCTTAACGCTTAAAGGGTCTAACTACCATTCGCACTCCCTAATTCAAGTACCGTAGTGTCTCGAAAATCTCCACCCGTATCAACGTAAGACCGAGATATTGAACAGTGCAAAGGATCGGTCGGGTTGAGGTACCTATTACACATCCATACTATCTGGGACACAGTATCAACTTATTGAAAGAAAAATTTGTATATTACAGTGATTTAGTTAAGGTAATTTTCAAATATAAAATATAGTGAAAATTAAATAAAAAAGTTGCAATAACTTCCAAATAGTCGAAGTATCCCTCATCCCCTCAATGGCCGTCATGCTGCGACTACTGTGATGCAGGAGATGTAATGTAGTAGACAATCCGATTATGGTACCATGTTATGTATTCATCCATAAGCCTATTTGAATCGCAACGATCATGGTTCGCCATATTGGCGGACACTGAGACATATCTGGCGAGTCATAATCGGAACGGGGCATGCCACTACGAGATTGATACCCGAATCAACTATTTACTAGTCTCGATATTGAATTGCCATGACTCGGTCGATATTGACCAAGTCATAACTGCGAAACGAGAAACCAACAAGAGTCAGGCGATTCTTGACAATTCAACTCGGAATCAAACACAAACAAAAAGTGAAAAGAAAGATTAGGGAAAGTGATCAAAAAAGTGAATGAAAACAACAAAAAGTTACTGCAACCAACTCAATTATTGCCATATGAATTCAAACCCTCATAATAAGTACCAACAAAAGGTTCAAAGTTATCAAACGTCCTTCCCCTCAAGCTTTATTCTTTTCTTTCTCAGCCACAAAGACAAGGGGAAGGGGAAGGGGAAGGGGAAGGGGAAAGGGAAGGGGAAGATAGGGTATAGAAAGTAGAGTACAATAGATAATCAAGCAGCGGAGAAACGTATCGACAATTTCATCACTAATTTGTCTTCAATCAAAGTATCAAGCAATGCATGGGGTTGTCTTGATTAAACTCATGCTTCTCGAAGTGAGTTTACTACATCGAAAATAGGAAAGAATAGAGAAATTATTGCTAAAATTATAGCTAGAGTTGGAAGTGATTGAGCGGGAGGTGGTCTGAAATTGTAGTGGGAATTGTCTCTGCCTTTTGTGAACATCATCGGAAACAAAGCAAGGAGGAGAAGAAAGAACAAAAGGAATGATCTTGAAATTGGAGTGAGAAGAACGAAGCTGAAATTGGAGTAGTAGGGCTTTTCTAGTGGAGCCAAAGACAAGAAAAAAAAAAAAGAAGAAAAAATTAAAAGGTCTTGAAGTCTAAGTTTGGCCCCAGTAACTAGGAGATTGGACTCCTAATTTTAAGTTCAATCATCAGGCCAAAAGGTTGCATTTTCTTTCAAATTATTTTCTCAATTTTAATGCTTTATTTTTGGATTTAGTATTTAGATGTGATATTTAGATATTCATGAATTTATGTGATGCATTTTGGCACTTTTATATATATTGTTAAGTAGATGATTAATTTGATTAAATTGATAATTGTATATTTAATTCATTTTTATAATATCAATAGTCTCTTATCTAAGTTTTAGTTTAGAAAATATATAGTCACTATTTAGATAACTTGTAATGATCAGAAATGTAATTTATTTATTTCATACATCTCAATTATGTTGGTTAAAACGATTTTACGCAAATTAATTAGAAAAAGGTAGAAAAAAAGAGTTTACTTACAAGTTCCACTAAGTTAAACAAAAATGAAGTCTGCAAATTGTGAAAGCATAATTATCTTGCATAATTAAATTTGATCATAAAAAAATTAATATATTGATATAATAAAAAAATAATTTTATTGTTATCTAAATAATACGTATTAGCATGTTTAACATCACATCTACAATTATTTAACTAATGTAGGGACTGTGAGAACCCAAAAATTTTGTGTAAATTTCATGCTTTTATTTTAATTTTTATATACTTTATTATTGATGAATTTAAGTGTTTAATTTTTTTTACTACTTGAGAAGTGAATAATAGAAGTTTGTAGTGCGAGAGCTCAAAAATTTATACCTAATTGCGTACATTACCATTAGAATTTTTGAATATGCAAGTTCATTTGATTATCGACTACTTGGAATGTTTAATTGATTGTTGTAGACTTAAGTGTATTAGATTACTTCAAATTTAAGTATGATTAACATTCATGGAAATTTAATACGAATTAGACAAGAAACTAGTAGGGTAATAGTGAGATGGAATGAAAGTGCAAGGTTTAAAATTTTATTTGTTCATGCATTTGACACTTGGCACGAGTTGGACATTTGTCCAACTATTAAACCAAGCTTACACCAATTCATTTGTCTCTTGACATGCAAAACAACTCTTAACCGAGAGAGAGAGAGAGAGAGAGAGAGAGAGAGAACATTCCTGGTTCCTTATTTCTCCAGCTTGCAACCGAGAGAGTGAGGGAGAGAGTTAAAATAATTTTCTCTTTTCACTTCACCACACGAGAGAGAGTTGAAAGTGAGGAAGATATTTCAATTTCTTGGTGTTCAAACTAGCTGCATTGAGGGGAGAAAGTAGAGAAAACTTGGTGCGATTTCCTTGAGGAGCCGAGAGAGAAGGAAGTAAGCTATCTGCATTTTCCAGCTGAGATTTGCACAGAAAAGGGAGGTAAAAATTGTAGTAATACCCGTCATTCTTCTAATATTCTTAATTACCATGTTGCATGTTGGTTTTTAGCTAAGAAAAGTGAGTTTTGTTGAAGAAAAATCTTATTTAAAGACTGATCACTTGCTAGAAAATTTCTATTTTGGCCGAGAGAAGGAGAGATAGTTATGCCGTTTGTCATTCAAAATTTTTGGAGGAATTTTTACTTGGACTTCATTTTATATGCCTATTCTCTTGTTTTATATGAGATATAGTATGTTTTACCTTTGAATCTAGAGAAAAGTTGGCAACTTGGATGAGAATTTTGAAAGAACTTACTGGAAAATTCTGATAGGCTGGTCGAGCAAGGAAGGTGGAATTTTTCCAATTTTCCTCCACAAATTTTGGCTGCAAAATATCATATGGTGGTTCAATATACTTTATAACATGTTATCTTAGCAAGCATGTTACATTTGAAGTTTAAAGAGGTGGATTTTATGGCTGAAATGTTGGTACATGCTCACTGCTTTGCTGGAATTTTTCCAAGCTCTTGACCAATTGCATAAAGCTGTAACTTTCAGCTTTTACCTTGAATTTTGAGTGAATTTTTGCTAAGATGTCATGTTTTATATCATGACAACTGTTTATATAGAATCTGGTATGTTTGTATGGTTGAAATAATAGTTGCTTGCTCATTAATTTTTGCTGAAAATTCGGTTAATGGGGCTGAATTGATTAAATTGCATGGTTGTTAGCTTCTCCGATGGAATGTAGCTGTGATTCTTGTTTTGAAACAAAGATTCTTGGAAAGTTTTGCTGGATTTTCGAAGCTACATGTTTTCATTTCAATGTTTATGTGATTGCATGTTGGATTTGGTTAATAACTTGGTAGATTGAATAAAAATCTTGGAAGATACGTGGCTGGAATTTCAGTTTTGAAACCCGAAAGACTGGTTGTGTTCTCCCAGACTTAACTACCAACTTGTGAACTGAAGTTTATGCCAATATTGGTTAAAATTATCCTATGGTACTCTGTTTTGCTCTGTATATTATGCCTACCTTGATTTGAGAAGAAATATCGAGTCTTTGGGAAGAAATTTGGAGTTAGTTGAGCTTACAAGACTGTTTGGACAATTTGGGATTGTTGAAGAGTTCAAGCTGTTTTCTGGAAATTTTAGGGGATTTTAATCAAACTTTGAACTAAGAACAATCTATTAAGTATAATGGTAAAATCCAGGTTGGATTGAAGGAGATTTGAACAAAGAAATGGTGAACTTTGGACTGAAAACATGAAGCATGTCCTGCAAAAAATATGTTTTGAACAATCCTAATTTAGTACTTAGATTCTAGGTTTTAATTTTGAATTACTAAGGTGGGAATGAACCAAAACTGATCAAACCTCTTTAGGTTACCTTATAAAAGTTTTACTTGTAAAATTCATCCAAAATCTAGAATGAAATCAAGCAAATTCATAAGATTTCTAAACTGCTAAATTCTAGAAAACTTACTAACTTTGAATCTTGATTTTTAAAATGATATTTAGAACCTAAATTCCAACTTTTATTGCCATATAACCACCTTACCTTACTTTACTTTGATAAAATAAGGAATTTTAGGGCTTAAAAGATTAAAGTTGCCTAGACTTGAAACTTTGATGTACGAGAATAAGATAAGTACTAAGATCACCTTAAAACTCCCTATATATATACACATTTAAACATCCTAGATTATATATACACATATATATGCTTTAGTCCAAATAATCATATGAGCCTTAACTTCACCATTTGGGGAAAATAATAAGTAGACTAATAAGTTTATAAATATCTAATAAGTTTATAAATATCCAAGCACCAAGATGTGAACTCAAAATACTTTGGGTGAGTGTTTCCATATTGATGTGTTTAAATTGCCTACGTGTTTCCGTATGTGTGTGTTAATTGTTTGTGTTTCTTAAGTGATGTTATATGATGAATTGTTTACTACAAAAATATTACTAGTGATTCATTATAAAGTGTATTGTGAAGTTTTCAATTGTCCCTCGTCTTCTAAACTAAGAGTGTACTTTATCACACCTAACTTAGTTTGAGTTTGAAGGTTGATAATTGACAAAGTATTATTGTAAGTGTGCATGACTGTAAGTTGTGTGTGTACTTTACCACACCGGCTGAATCGGGCCCCAAAACCCTCTGTTCAACGGACTATTCGAGCCAGAAAAGGGTTTGGTCGGATAGGATGGTAGCTTTAGGTAAGTGTTTCGGTATGTTCGAATATTACCACGGAGTAGCAGATTACTAATATGGCTATCTAAGTGAGGGAAGTGTTTATTGTTTTGGAGGATATAAGGAGGAGCTCGGCGGAGTGTGTAATATATTGAAGTGGCTCTACACTACAAGAAATTTGGTCATTAGTGACAACATTTCTCAGTGATGAAAAAAAGTCGTCACAGAATGGGGTCCTTTAACCACAATACGGCAAGTTGTCACAATTGAGTCAAGGAAGCCAACACATCAGTGACGACCTTGCATTGTTGTCACAATTCGATTCCCGCCAAGAGTCACGAAGAGAGCGGGAACTGCAATAGTGACAACTTTCTAAAAGTCGTCAGTATTAATAGCACTTTCTTTGACAACTTTGCTCTTGTTGTCACTGATAACATTATATAGCCGTTAGTGACAACCTAGTCTTATCACTGTTTGATTTAAAATATTTATTGCTTTTTGCAACTATTATTCCTAATTTTTTGTAATCATTATGTGTTCTGTAATGATTTTTAACTGTTGTATACTTATGAGCCTCCTTATTAGTTTAATTTTCTTGTATATGTAATAACTTCATTAGAATAAAAAATAATTAAAAAATAAAAAAATCATTAGTGTAAATAAACTTGTGACTACTTAACTTAGAATGATTATTAGTTAATTTGATATGAATATAAATAAGAGTTTTCAAATTGAACTGGTTATCGAAGTGGATAAATCCTAAACTCCTTAGTTAATTAACTAATACACTTTATGTATTAGTTGAATTGTGCATTTTTTTTTCTTATTTGAAGATAATGGATTAATAGTGAAGTTTTATAAATAGTAGTTATAATTGATATAAAGTTTTAGCACCTATAAGAACTAGTTAAATTTTATTAAAATGCTTTTCCATTTATATGAATTTAAAAAATTTTGCCACTCATACTAGAATTTTTAATCATACTAAAATTTTTAAAATTGTGACACAAAAATAATGAATAAAAATGAAATCTATATTTCAAATACAATTATAAAAGACAAAATTGCACCAATTTTTCTTGTGTAAAAAGGGGGGAATTATGATGTCCAAATCTAGTTAAAATTCAAGACAAAAACAAAGTGGCACAATTTTAAAATTCAAGGAAAAAAAAGAGGCGCAAATTTGTCCAAGTCTCTTGTACTATGTAGATGCAAAACAATAACTTTTCTAAGTGTTGAACTCTCTCTCAGACTCTCACAAATCACCTCACTTTTACTCAGCCCGTCAGCCCACACTCACCTCTACATCCACGGCTTCACCCCCACTTCCACTTCCATTTTCACCTCCACCTCCACCTCTACCACACTCTCGATCTCTTCGACAATTGAAGACCAGTGAAGTACCGTGGCTCTTGGGCATTGAAGACCAAGTAATTCTCCAAGTCTCTGCGGGCCGATGTTGAGTCAGATCTTAGTGGCTTAGTGAAAAAACGAGACCTGCAGCGCCCAGCATCTTCCTCCGATAGGAGAATGAGTCTAAAGGATGACTCTTCCCGAGTCATCGCCGGCAGGAGACTTTGTTGAGCCCTGATCAGTACACGCTTTTATTTAAGTCAATGTCCTGGGAACAGAAGACCTGTGAATGTCACTGAACGGAAAGTCTTAGGGCAGTAATCAGGGAATCAACAAACCCAAGAACCAAATCGGCTAAGCTAAGGCCTAAGGCCAATTGCCTTCCCTGGACTGATTGGCTTCGGTCAAAAGACGATTTTGTTGAATGAGATTCGGACTCTTTATCCAAAGGTTAGTTCTTTCCCTCTCTTCTTTGTCTCTAAGATAGTTTGCAAATATTTTGGCCCTACGCTTGTTTTTTTTTATTTTCTGAAAATTTCTACCTGCATTCTTGTTGAACCTGCATTGAGGGTGTAATTTTATGGTTATTTATATGATTAAACTTTTCATCCCCTGAAATTTTATTGCCCTAAATCTTAACTTAGGGAAAAAATTAGGGAAAATTTTTTGCCTAGTTATCGTGAATCCCCTAGATTAATTGTATCCTTGACTTTTTGGCCCACTTGGGAAGGACTTGCTGCTTCTCAACGATTTTTTGTACAAAATCAGCTACGGCTGGACTTGGTAGGGGGAGAATGAGTGAAACTGATTCAGAAGCCTTCCAAGCAGCAGTCTTTTCAAGGATTGGTGATCTGGTCAAATTAGACAGGTAATTTTGTGCAAACTCTGATGGTAATTTCTCAGTTACACTCTCACCCAGAGAGCCTTTTTCTTTATTTGAATACACTTGTTGAAGTTCACACAACTGGAAATCTCAAATTTTCTTGCTTAAGAAAATATGGTAGTTTACATTTTTCGAGTGGAAGGATGGCAAAGCATTAGTCAGATAGAATTAAGACGTTCCTTGAAGAATTGAATGATTTCCCAAAATTGCTCCGCAGTAAGCCAATTCAGCTGATAGATGAAGTGACAGAACACTATCTTGAGGTGAGTATATCTTCAACTGTGGATGAAGTTCTTGAAAGGAGGGATGTATTATTAATCATGCGCGTGGCAAGCTGCTGTCATATATGCTCAATGGACTTGTATGTTTATTGTTGTGCCGGTGAACAAGCAAGCTCTGGTTTATCATGTTAACAACTTATAATTTATTTTTCTCCCTTTAAAAGTTTATGGCTTAGTTAATCTTGTGTATCTATGGTTTAGTTAGAGTTGTCACTATGTCATTTTGTCAAGCTATAGAGTAGAGATCTGTTTACGCCTCTGTCAGGAATATGGAATTGTAGATGCAGCTTCCTTCTTGCTGGAAAGGGTTGGTGATGTTGGAAGTGCTCTTATGCTCATTCTTTCTGGCCTCAATGAAAAATTTATTGTGCTTGAAGCTTCTATTATCAGTTTAGTTTTTCAGTTATTATTCTAAAAACTAGAACAATTAAAAGGGCTGAGTTAGGCAGTTGGTATGGTTTTTAGTTAGGTTGTGGGCTGAAATGAAACCAGACCATGACTCCGTTTGTTGAATGGTCTGGGGTAATATTGGTACAGGTCATAAGTAAAACAACCATACATAGAGGCATGCACCTGTTTCTATATCAACTCCTTAACTCTCTCTCTCTCTCTCTCTCTCTCTCTCTCTCTCTCTCTCTCTCTCACACACACACAGACACTAGAGTATATTGTCCATCACAGTCTTTTTGGAGTTTCTGTAGCATATTTTGTATTTACTGGGAAGGGGCAGCTTTATATATTCATGGTCCTCATATCAGAAATGACTACCCCATAAATCAACATGAGATGGCATCTTGATATTTCTGGATTGAAGAGGTCCAATGCCTACCTAATTAACGGTCTCTTTATTTTTTTTGGTTGGCTGATGGCAAGGATTTTGTTGTTTGTTTACATGTTTCACCATGTTTACATTCATTATAGTCAGGTCATCCAGATGCATTCAGTTGGTTATTTTCTAGTATTTGTTGTTCCTTGCGCTCTTTCTATCATGAATTTGATGTGGTTTGGTAAAATTATTAAGGGGCTCATAAAAATGTTAGCAAAGAAGCAGTGAGGAACAGTAATGCTCTGATTTCTTCTATTACCACAGTCAAATTTTTCCCTTGCGTTCCTACTTGTACAAAACTATAGGAGAATGCCCACAGAAAATAGGGAAAGATTAGTTCAACTTTTGTATGTGATCTGTGCAATTCAACTTTGGTTACTTAAGTATGGTGAAGTAGTTTATACATATGTTATGCCATTGTGGATGGGTAATTCCTGGGCTTTTTGGTTCAAATTATCATTTATGTTCTTACCTTAATTATCTTTATTTCTCCATGCAATTCAGTTTTGGTTACTTAAGTATGGCAAAGTAGTTTATACTTAGGAGTAGTTTGTGATTTGAAGTGTAATTTGAAATGGTTTTCAGAGTATTCTACCTTTGGGCATAAAATAAGATATGGTGAAGAGGACAGGGTGCTTGTTTTTCTTTCTTGAAAAATAAATGTTCCTGATAAATCAATAGCCTATCTGATGCCACTGGCTATGAGGTAATTTTTTTTCTCAACAAACATATTATTTTTCATAGTTATGTTCAGCTTATTATTTACTTGAATTGATGACGAGTATTTACTTTGTTAGATCTGAAGCAATACTGAATTCTTGAAGCTAGGAGGAAGTGTTAAAGATAGAGTGGCAATGAAGATTATCGAATAGGTGACTTAATTGTTTTCTTTAATTTGCTGCTTTTAAAGTTCTCTTATTTGACTTTGAAAGTTTTGAACTTTGGATCTTTCATTATAGAAATTTGTGCTCTCTAAGCTTAGCATATGTTGTTCTGAAATATTTAAGTGATTTGAGTTTTTGTACGATATGATGGTGTTATTGAGGTAATGTGTTTGAGCACAAGCTAGGATAGTGATGAGTTCTGACCTTGGATGGTAGCTATTAAGTCTTGCAATTTACAATATTTACTGCTTTAACAAGCATTTACATGGCAATGCCAATGCTTTTCAGTAGCTTTTAGTTGTTTTTGTGATTGGAGTAATTTGGGTATATGGATTTTGATAATGTTAATATTGTTTATGCAGTACCACTCCATGTATTCATCCTCTAGTGGTTTGGAGAAATGGGTTGTAAAGATTGAGCAACCCATAGACATCTTTCTCACGATACCCATTGCATCAGTTTCTCTTATATAAATGAGGTACACATTGCCTCAGTTTCTCCTATATGAATGGATAGCTCGACACCTTGTATCGTGATTGATATTACTTTGGTTATCATACTTGACACGTTGTATCCTCTGCTATTCATTACTTTGGATTGTTTTGGTTTAGTTCAGTTTAGTTTATTTGAATGTTTAGCTAAGCAAGCGAATCAAAGTTGCTTTTCCTTTAGTGTTTGTGCTTGTAGTCTTATCAATTGGTTATATTGTTCATAGCAGTACTTATAGCAGTACTTGTTGCATTATCAACTTGTTATATTATTCCTTTGAAGCTGAAGTTTAATAGCAGTACTTATTTCTTGAGCTGATTTTGTGCAATAGTTTGGGGCTGATTTTGATGTACAGCTTTAATTATTGAGGTTCTTATTGGATTGCATATTTTAGCTAAACAACCTAAGTATTGTTACTTCTCCTTCAGTGTTTTAATCCTCCCCTTATCTACTTGTTTTACTACTTTGTTACAGATAAATGCTATTTAAACAAAATTTTGGGAGCTATCTATAGCAATGACTGAAGGACGTTGAAGACAAAGTCAATTTCTCATGCAAGGGTCCGCTTGGATGTTCTTTGGTTTCTTAAAATTAATTCCTTTTGTAAACGTACCTTATGAATATGTGATATTTGGGCACAATGTTACTTTTATAGACCTTTGTTGGGTAATGTGCACCTCATTATGACATTTGAGTACTTAATATGCTATATTGGCATGTAGCCTAATGCAACAACTACTTTTGATTATCGATTGTTTAGATTACTTCTTTCAATTTATTTTAGATAAATAATTTACCATGCTAAATTGTGAGTTTATTGAAATGGAGCTGACAATGTTAAAGATCACTAATGACAAAAAAGAGCTGTTGCATAACAAGAATCAAAAACTCTTTGTGACAACAAAGCTTGTCACTAACTCCAAACTTCAATTGTGACAACAAATATTGTCAATAAGTAGATCATATAAGTGACAACTTCTAACACTTTTCAGTGACAACCTTGATCAATACATCTCTGACAACATACTAAATCGTCAATAAAACTCTTTCATATTGTTGTCACTAATGACAACCATTCACTGACGACTTTTTGTGTTGTCACTATATACTTTTACCGACGGAGATATAGTGACGACTCTGTGACAACTCAAAAGTCGTCAATAAAAGTCATTAGTGACAACATTTCTATGTCTTGTGATGACATATTGTTGTCACTGATGACCAAATTTCTTGTAGTGCTAATACGGGTACTGTATGCTTTTAAAAGTTTTTATATAGTGAAGTGTTTCTTATTTGCTAAATTTTGTTACTTGTTTAAGTGTTTAATTGATTGTTGCTTGTATGGAAACCTCACTGGGTCTTGCTCAACCCATTAGTTTGTTTTTCCTTACAAGAGTAACGGATGGGTGTGAAAAGTAGCCAGAAATTTAATCCTGAGACCTGAAATTATATGGGAATGAATCTTGTTGTACTTAATGTTATAGTTTTGCAGACTTTATTATCTTTAAGGATTGTACATATTAAATGTTGTAGACTAAGACAACTTTGCTTAGTTTTTGGAATGTAGTTAAGTATAATGGATAGTTAATGATTTTAGTTAGTGAAATCTTATCTCTCAAGTTAATATAAGTGAGTGAGTGAGTTCTAACGAGAGTCAGGCAGGCGGTCCACTAAACTCTAAGGTTCGTACTAGGGTCTGGACGAGTCGTCACAGGGACAATGTAAAATGGCTACAAATCAAGACATTGGTTCGGGATCATGCTATTCCAATTGGTAATTACAGAAAGGTTACAACAATTATTGTGGTAAAATCGTACACGGAGGAATTACAAGGATGAAACAACATATTGAACATGTAGTAGGACAAGTAGAGGCATATCCAAAAGAAATAAGAGAGCTTTTAAAGAGACATTTGATTCAAGGTAAAAGTGCAAGAGGTACAATACAAAGGGAAAAAGAATCATTGTGCCAATCCATCAATCTGCAGGATGAAAAAGAGGATGATGATGATGATCATATTTTCGAACTTAATGAAGAAGAAATGGAAGTTTGGAAAGAATGCAATACAAGCGAGCCAAGGAAGAAAGTGGATACATGAGATTTATGAAAGAGCAACGTAGGCATTATGTATTTGGAGGTCGGCCAACTATGAATTTTACACTTGGTATGTATATTGAAATATCTAAGAACTAATATACCATTTTTAAAATAAAAGACTTGTTTAATAAAAAATATTACAATCTTTTATGTGCTACATTGTAGGGAGTAGTAGTTCGAGTATTCCTAATCTATTGTCCTCTAAAAGTAAAAGAACTTTCTTACAAAGTTTTGAACACAAGCCAGGAGGTTTGGGATCAAAAGGAGTTGACTCATACATATATCCCTCCAAAAATAAATCAGTAAAAAATTTGTTTTTCAAAGAAAATGCCAAAAAAAAAATTTGGTAAGGCAATTTCAAAATTTTTCCATTTTAATGCCATACCATTTCATGCGGCTAATAGTGGTCCTTATTATCAATCAATGATTGACACATTTTGCTAGTGTTGGTCCTGGAATTAAAGGGCCAACAGGTAAACAAATTGGAGCTAAATATCTGAATGAGAAGTTAGCAAATATTGAACAATACATCAGTTCCATGAAACACAAATGAAAAACATATGGGCGCGGCGCACAATCATGTGTGATGACTAGAGTACTTGGACAAAGCATCCAATAATTAATTTCGTGGTGTACTGTGATAGAGACATGATATACATAGTTCTATCGATTGTATAAACAAGGCAAATACTGCAAACTTTGTCTTTTTCTTAATGGATAAAGTTGTGGATTCCATTGGAGAAGTAAATATTGTACAAATTGTCACTGATAACAAATCTAGTATGAAGGCAGTCGGGGCGTAACTGATGAAGAAAAGAAAACATTTGTTCTAGTCACCACGTGCTGCATATTGCATTGATTTGATGTTGAAAGGCATTGGTAAGATGACGTCAATAAAGGATGCTATCAAACAAGATAGGAGAATTACCAATTTTATATGCAATAGTGGTGAAAGGGTAAATCTAATGAAGACATATATAAAATAATACAGAGTTACTGTGGCCCAACATAACTAGATTTGCTACCGAGTTCAGTGCTATGGAAAGCCTTCTTTGTCATGCTAGTGTATTGGAAAGAATGTGTATTTCAAATGAATGGCAGGAGTATAAAAACAGTTCTAAAAGAAGGGAAGAATCTGTTAAAGTGTCTAACTTGATTTTATCAGAAAGATTTTCGAAAAGGGTATGGCGGGTTTGTGCAATCTTGAAGCCGCTAGTGAAAGTTTTAAAAGTGATCGACCAAGATAAAAAATCCACACTACCCATTATATATAGGGCAATAGATAGGGCTAAAATGGCAATACAAAGTGCAGTGAAAGACTTTCAAAAGTACTAGAATATTATTGAGAATAGATGATATAAGCAGTTATACCAAAACTTGCATGCAGCAGATAAATATGTTTACGATTATAAATAAATATTTTTAAAAAATATTTTATACTAAAGATTTTCTTACTTGATTATTTTTTATATCATTGGTCCAGCCTATTTCTTAAATGCAACTCTTCAATATTTCAACACTTGTGAATTTAATACACCTGAAGTTCTAAGAGAATTGAAAGAAGTAATTAAAAGAATTGAACCAGATTTAGAAGTACAAGCAAAAGCAATGAATGAGGTTAAAAAGTTAATCTTTCTTTAATAACTTGCATTACTTTATGTATTTTTTTAATTACAAATAGTATCCTTAGATAAACACATTCATGAACAAAATTGGATAGTTTGGAAGTGCACTTGCAATTAAGGCAGTAGCTACATCTTTACCAAGTTTATGACTATGTTTTGTCCTTTAAATTATATTATTCATTATTATATTATTTTAAGGATATTTATTATATATGTATCATATTTACTAGTTTCTTGCATTATATGTTTTTAATAACTGAATGGTAGATCATGTATGGTGAAGAAACTCCTAATCTAAAAAAAATTGCAATTAAAGTTCTAAATCAAACTTGTGCATCATCTAACTGTGAAAGAAATTGAAATATATGGTCTTTGATACATATAAAATTTCAAAATCGATTAGCAATTGAAAAGTTGCACAAGTTATGTTTGTGCATTACAACATACGGTTTAGAGTGAAGAATTTGATGTACAAAAATGACACCGATGATTTTTATGACCCAATTGATTTAAATCACATTTTTTATGAGAATGATATATTAGATGAGTGAATCCGAGAAAAATGAGTCATATTTGATTCATGAAGATGATTTAAATTGGTTGGATAAATTTATCAATGAAAATGAAGGGGGAGAATAAAGTCATGATAATGATTATGATAGTGATATTCCTTTTTTTCCAATTTATAACTAGTAAGAAAAAGAAGCATAAGGAGTAAGTATCTATGAGTAAAGACAAGCATACTGAAAAGAAAAAAATTATATCAAAATTCATTTCATTTTCCTCTACTAACAACTCTAGCAGTGCAGAAGATGACAAGGGTAATGGTGATGATCATAATGATAATGGAGGGCTAGACATGATAAATTCTCAATGAAAAAATGTTAGTGGTAGTAGTGGTAACTATCAGGATAGCCAATATACTGGTAACATGTCATGTGCTTAAGGAGATGATAACTATTATGTTATTTAAGATATTGATCATGGATATCATCTTGACATAGAAGCACATCGGCAATATTTGAGTAGAATAGCCGAATTTTCAAACGAAGGTAACTCTTCTTACTACTTATTTAGGAGATATTCTAAAATTCATGAGCACTTGCAAGATTTAAATATAGGAGTCTATGATTCTAGCAACAGTTTGGGTACTAGGTAGTTAGGATATGAATTTGAATGATCATATGCACCTTCCGCTTATTATTACTCTAAATATTGATCATATAATGGACCTAACCATCTTCAAAGGTCCACTAGTGTTTTTACTAGCTGTCGCGCCCCATTTTTTGAAAATGAATTTTTGATTTACAAAGAAAATGAAGAAAAATATGGGTCTAAATGGGACATGAAAATGCGACGATTTGACCCAACATATAGTTTAAAAAGGGTTTATTGAATGAAAAATGGAGTCGCCACTTGGTATAGAGTTAAGGTGTACCAAGTCACCTAAAATAAATTTTTTAAAGGAAAAAGGTAGGAAGAAACCCCTTTTAAACGACTCCTTGTCTACGTAAACCAACGAAAAAGGTTCGGGAGTCACATTTGACGAAGGGGAAGGCAAGGATAAAAATCCAAGGCACCCCTTCGACCTAACCAAGGCTAGTTGCGTGATTTAGTCAAGGATTTTCTTATTTTTAGCCAAAAGATTTATCACATTTGCATGTACTATATGAATGCAAACCCTAAACCTAGGAGGGTATCGGGGGGCAAAATTTCTCTTCAAAACTTGAGTGGTGCCAATCACATTAATTGTGATGCCCAATAACGACTCTTTGGAGAGGTCACAAATAATGCAAGAATATGAGACTCTAAGAAGAGGAAAATGATAAAATAATTATAAAAATATACATGTCTTAAAGGAATGCATCATGTCGGGTACGGGGGACTAATGTTTGTGACTCAGTTTTCCCTTTTAATAGAGGGAATACGAGCGTGCTAAGGTTAGAAAAGCCAAACTCGTCCATATCCCATATCCAAGGAGTTTTCCCTAATCTAATCAAGCAA